ATTTACAGAGTTTTCATATTGCTCCCCATGCAAGGACTCCCGCACTCAAAATAAGGGCCCCTAGGCCCTCCTGTCGTATAACATTTATCCCCTTGCCCCCTAAGTCTATATTGCCCCTTATCAGTTTATTGTTTCCGATTACGGTGGCTGTTACTAGACGTCTATCCGACGGGGCTTTGTAACCGACGGAAACTGTAAATGTTCCCCCCGCTAGTTTTTCTTTTTTGTTACTGTTGTGACGGGACGTTGAGTCCATCCTGAGGGGCAAAAATGGCCCCCACCTGGAGGGGAAACCAGTCTCCGCCTCGGGGGGGTATTAGGGCCCCCCCCTCTTTTTCCCTTAAAAAGGCCGTTCCCAAAAGGAGGGGGGCCCCGGGGGGGGGGGGGGGGGGGGGGGCGGGGGGGAATCTGTTACTGCTTTAGAGACTAATCTGCTGAGTAATTTATAACAAATGTATTGCGATCTTGTTTGGGGAACAAAGGGGTGCAAGCTGTAGAAAATGTTAACTTATATCAACACAGGGTAGCACATCGCTCACTAATTAAACAAACAGATATTGCTCAGCATCACTCAGCCAACGAATATTGATTGCCTGTGGAGTGCCAACAGGCCCTACTGTAATTACTGTGAAAATGGCAAAGAACAGCACACAAAATCTCTCCCCCACGAAGCTCGTATTTTACTTAAGTTAAAGCAGACCAACCTTCAGCAAGGCGAGGTTTACAATTTTTAACTAAATTTATTCAGCCGTTTCCCCCAGAATAGAATGGTTGAGGTAGAGCTTTAGAAATAAAATAAAAATTCTAAATCAGGGGTTCCTAGGCTATCCGACTCCACCGGCCAGATAAAAACTTTAGGTAAAATAAACAACTGGGGAAGACTCGTAGCTTTTTAGTTTGCCAAATAAGGGTGTGAAAACAAACTAACATGCTCTCATTTCACAGAAGGCAGGAGATTTTAGTGTCTCAACATGGAAAGAGAAAGACAACCGCAGAATAAAGGACTATTTTCCCCAAGTGAGGACATCTGGCTGCCCCACGCGGACAGACTGTCCTCACGCTGCTCGCTTGGCAGCTCCCTGGGGGACGTTCCCGCAGGTCAGAGACCTGCGTTTGGTAACCGCGCCCCACAGCACAGTCACCACCGATCGCTGAGCCAAACAAACAGGACTGACTGGCCTATTTTGTCTGAATTTATGGGTCAATTATTCCACGTAAAGTTGCAATTTGGTGAGAAAAAAAAACTAATCAGAATTACTGCTTGGAAAGATGACTTAAAAAAAAATACGTATGTTTTTACTGTTGGTTTTGGGGTTTTTTGGAGAGAGGAAGGAAGAGGGATAGAGGGGTAGAAGCATTGATGGGGGAGAAACATCATCGATCTGGCACACCCCCTACTGGGGTTCGAGCCCACAACCCTGGCATGTGACCTGACTGGGAATGGAACCAGTGACCTCCTGGTTCAAGGGTCGATGCTCAACCATTGAGCCACATGCCGGGCAAGATGACTTAAAGAAGAATTGAACTAATTTATGATTCAAACACAACAGTGGATGGAGCCATTCTATGTAAGCAATCTTCCCAGAATACTAAAAACACTCCAATATGGATGAGATGGTGATGACATACTATATTAAATAAACAAACCAGTCGGTTTAACACAAAGCACAGAAGAATCTCTTAAAATAATTAATGTCTGATAATGTACTGCTGACAGGCGATTGGAGCGGCTATTCGGCTTCGGGGATTTAATTTCCACAAGGTCTCTAACCGCCAGAAGGGCCTGTGACTTGCTGGGCAGCAAGATAACTTTTAAGTGTTTAACTTTGCCCTTTAATTAGTGAGTATGGAGACTGTCAAAGTTATAAACACATTGGTTGTCTTTTACTATCTTGGCTCACTTTAAAATGCAAGTGCTCTCCCTCTATCCATATTAAATCAACATTGTCACAGTGGGAGATCTTTTCTGAAGTTTTAGGCCAAGATATTAACATAGTCTGCTCTGGACTTCATTATCTTTGTTACCTTTACCGGAATCACGTTACTGATAATCCGTTTCTTGGCTCAGGTGTCTGGAGGCTGACCAGGCACAATTTGAATCTTTTGTGATGGGAACCAGAGTTCAATTTCACCAACGAAACACTCTTGGAATCAGAACTTCAATCAATGCTGAGCAGCCAGAACATAAGAACTTAGAGTCGTTTGAATAGAATGGAAGCCATTCCCTATTAACTGGAAGGAAACGTTACAGAGGATGCTCTTAGCCTAGCTCCGTGGTCGGCAAACTGCGGCTCGCGAGCCACAGGCGGCTCTTTGGCCCCTTGAGTGTGGCTCTTCCTAAGCCTTAGGAGCACCCTAATTAAGTGAATAACAGTGTACCTACCTATATAGTTTAAGTTTAAAAAATGTGGCTCTCAAAAGAAATTTCAATCGTTGTACTGTTGATATTTGGCTCTGCTGACGAATGAGTTTGTCCACCCCTGGCCTAGGTCATCTTACCCGTTTTCCCAAAGTGAGTCCTGGAGGGCAGGTCTCAAACCCCATCAAAGAGAACCAAAGAGGCAGGTGTGTGACGGAGGTTCTTCGTGGGCCTGGGCTCACCCGCGGCAACTTGGAACTGAAATCTGAAGCGTTGCCAGGACGGTGCAGGCAAATCGGCACTCCGAGTTGATGGTAGCAGGACACGTCGGCCCAGCCTCTGCCAACAGCAACTGAGAACCAGTGAGCTGACAAACGCACACACTGGGACCCAGCGATTCCAACTCCAGTTCACCCTGCAGGTGTGATCATTTTTTTTTTTGAAGCTTTTGTTGCAGCGTTATTATACCAAGACCGGAAATAACCCCAACGTCAATTGCCGTGGGGTGGGTTACATACATTTATGTACACAGTGGGTCACTATGCAGCAGGTTAGAAGAGTCGCTTTTTGCCCTCGCCGGGTTGATCAGTGGTTAGAACACAGGCCGGGGGACTGAAGGGTTGGGGGTTCGATTCCTGACAAGGGCATGTACCCCGGTTGCAGGGTTGCAGGCTCCATGCCCGACCCGATGTGGGGAGGAGGGGCGCAAGCGCGGGAGGCAACCAATGGGTGTGTCTTCACCTGGATGTTTCCCTCTGTCTCCCCCTCCCTCCCACTCTCTAAAAATCAATGGGAACCGATACCCTTGGGTGAGGGTAACCACGAGAGAGACACTGTTCATGTACAGACCGGAACCAATGCCCTCTGTGTTTCGTTAAACAGAAAAGTCCCTGTTCGTGCTACAGGGTGTCAGAGAGGCACCTCACGACAATATTAGCTGCGATGCGCACTGAGCTTCCCGGAGGAGCAGGAGGGAACCCTAACATCGCACGGAGCGGGGGCTGTGTGCGCGCCCGGTCCCCCGTCGGGTGGGACACCTGGACAGACCCTCAGGCGGACGCGCACCGGGACGGAAAAGGCTTTGCGGCCGCGAGGCCAGCTCAGGGTCCGGTCCCTGCGCCGGCCTCGCCTCTTCGGGCTGTCGCCTCGGTGACGCAGTCTGAACGCTGTCCCCACCATCGCCACCCGAGTGGGTTTTCCGGCCGCGCGTTCTGCAGCGGGCGAGCCTGGCGCCCTGCCGAGCACCGACACGCGGTGCTGTCGCCGCAATGGCGAGAAGGGGCTGCTATCAGGCCGGGTGTCACCCATCACAGATGAAACCACGGTGCTCAGCGCTGATGACCATTCCACACTCACTCACAGCCCCGAAACCCACCGTGGACCCCGCGTCCCCCGCCCCCCGCGCCCGCCCCTCCTCCGGCTCCGCCCAGCCTCCGCCCTCTCCTCCGGGTGCCGCGCGCTCGGCGGGAGGTCTTCTCGCGGGACTGCCCCGCGAGAGCCCGGAAGAGGCACTGCAGCTCCTTCGCCGGAGGCCGCTCTCTCTCCGCTCCTCTATGAATCTCTTTGTGACCCGTCGCATTGCACCCGAGTCTCAGAGTCCGTGCCCCCCCCCCCCCCTAGTCCTCCCAGCCAACAGGGGCAGTGAAGGAGGCTGAGGTTCTCGCGAGAGAGCAGAGTTCTCT